AGAAGAGAAGAGGAACATGGTTTGATGACGAGTGCAGGCAAGCGATAGAAGAAAGAAACGAAGCGCACAAAATGTACATAACAAGAAGAACACGGGAAAGACGAACATCATTTGAAGTCGCAAGACGGAAAGCAGACAAGATATGCAGAAACAAAAAGAGAGCTTATGAAAATGGACAAATAGAAGAAATGGAACAAAATTTCAAAAAAAACGAAATTAGAGGAGCTTACGAATACCTAAAAAAGATAAAAAGTGGATATAAACCTCAAACAAGCCTATGCAAAGATGAAAGTGGGCAAATAATCAGTGACCAACAGAAAGTCACAGAAACCTGGAAGCATTATTTTCAGACCCTACTTGGAACACAAGTAGATATGGAAGATGAAATGAGAACGAACCATGTAAAAGAGAACGAAGTTGAAGTAGAAGCTCCAACCATAGAGGAAGTTCTCGAAGCTATTAAGGCCCAGAAAAACAATAAAGCCCCGGGAGTTGACGAGATTCCAGCAGAACTGTATAAGGTAGGTGGCAACCACCTATCAAGTCATATCCACGCGCTTATCAAAGAAATATGGCAAGAAGAGAAAATACCCGACGAATGGAAGAAAAGTATAGTATGCCCAATCTATAAAAAAGGAGACAAACTCCAATGCAAAAACTACCGTGGAATTTCTCTACTATGTACAGCGTATAAAGTCCTCACGTATATTATAAACCAGCGACTCCAACCACTAGCAGAAAATATTATTGGAGAATATCAGACGGGCTTCAGACGGGGAAGATCGACAATGGATCAAATATTTACAGTCAAGCAGGTCTTGAGCAAATCGTGGGAACACGACATTGATGTTCACAACGTGTTTGTGGACTTCAAACAGGCATACGATTCAGTCAAAAGGGACAGACTATACTATATATTGGCAGAATTAGCAATACCACATAAGCTAATTAGACTCATTAAAGCCACAATGGATGAAACTCAGGCATGTGTACGAATACAAAACAACCGGACAGACTTTTTCAAAATCTCGCAGGGACTAAAGCAGGGAGATGGGCTGGCACCAACATTGTTTAACCTGGCACTAGAGTATGCGGTCAGGCAAATGCAAACTGGACGAGAAAACCTACTGACCAATAAAACGGTTCAACTGGCTGCCTACGCCGATGATATTAATATTATGAGTAGAACATCAATAGGAGCACAGGAAGCATACGCAGAGTTAAAAACACAAACGAAAAGGCTAGGTCTGGAAATTAACACAGAAAAAACAAAAATAATGGTACAGACGAGAAGAAATATAATCCCACAAAACATTATACATGAAGATGACATTGAAACGGTTGGAAAGTTTACATACCTGGGAGTAGAAATATATGCCGATGGAGCAGAGGATGGAGAAATACGAAAAAGGATAACGCAGGCAAACAAAGCTTATTTTGCCCTCTCCCATATATTTCGGTCTAAAAGTGTCCACCGAAATACAAAGATGAGAATATATAAAACTTTAATTCGGCCAATAGCATGTTATGGCAGCGAAGCATGGGTCCTGAAAGAAACATCCAAAAACAAACTCGACACATTCGAAAGAAAAGTACTGAGGAGAATACTAGGACCTGTGAGGGAAAACGGAATCTTCAGAATTCGATATAACAACGAGCTCTATCAACTGTATAAGGAAACACCCCTGTCAAACTTCATTAGAATACAAAGATTGCAATGGGCCGGACATGTGATACGAATGGGAGAGGATAGGCTACCAAAACGAGCACTGAACGCCAGAATGCAGGGAAAGAGACCAGTTGGAAAGCCAAGAAAGCGCTGGGAAGACACAGTAAGCAGCGACGCACAAGCACTTTTAGGAGTCCGTGTATGGAGAAGAGCAGCCACAGACAGACAAGGGTGGAGGCAAAAAATAAAGGAGGCCAAGGCTCATTTTGGGCTGTAGTGCCGTAGAAGAAGAAGAAATGTTTAAGTTACATATAATAGTGTAGTTCTGATCTGGAGAGCCTAAAGTCAAGTAAATTGTACATAGAAAGTTCTAGAAATGTCAATGGGACTATTTGCATAATACATCATAGACAAAAACCATTACATTTTATTCCAGAATGTTCAAATAGAAAAAATAGAATGATTCGAACATTATTTGTTGCTAGATTATTCTGGAAACGAAAAAAGTTCAGTAATCAGGGAGTAGTCAGTCAGTATGGTCAGTTATCAGTTAGAAGTCAGTCAGTTAGTTAGTTAGTTACAGATTATGATTAGTTACAGTTGATTAATCAGTTAGTAAAGTGAGTCAGTAAAGTTATAATACAAGAATTTAGTTACAAGAAGATTATTACGTCAATTATTATTATTATTAAGTCAGTTATATGTGATTATTAATTACAAAGAAGAATTAAGAATAATTTATGATTATTAATTGATTGATTAAGTTAAATGAATTATTAAGTTAAATGCAGTTGGAGATTAATTATTACTACAGTAATATAGTGACAGTTTGAAGTTAATTCATTGAAGTAAGCATTCAATAATACCACCACAAGATCCAGTATATTTCAAAGTACATTATATGGAAATTACAAGGATTAAAATTTATATATTTATATGGTGAGTGGAGATAATTAAGAAGAAACATATTAAAATTGTTGGATAACCAAGGCTGAGTAAGAAAATATCGTGTGGTGATAATAACTTTAATTTTGGAAAAACTTTAGGCGTTCAGTAAAAGAAGGTACCAAATTTTGTTAATAATTTAATAATTGTAAGAATTTCAAATTTTACATATATTGTTTTAAATTGATATTGTTTATATTAGATAGATAGGTTTTTTTCATAATAGTTATAATAAAGATAATTTAAAAAAGTACTTACAAACTAATTCTTTGAGAACCGCGATAAAAACCCTATACTTACATATATCATTCAAATTTACTCATAGCTCATACATAAACAACACATCATAACAATATATATATATATATATATATATATATATATATATATATATATATATATATATATATATATATATACATATATTGAAAAATTAATGCGATTTAATAGTATAAATCTAGGGTTAAAAGACTCTTAGCATAGTTCCCAAAAACAGTTTAAATAAAAAAAGATATAAAAACGAGTAAATGTAATTAGGTATTAAAGGTAATAAAGGAAATTGATCAATCACATCAAAAAAACAAGAAAACGTAAAGCAGTTGGGCCAGATAATATTCCCGGGCAAGTGCGATTACAAGTGGCACATGTAATTGAAACTTACTTGGACTGAGAATAATATTATTGTCGTGGAGTTTTTATTTTCGTTAATAAATGAAAACTTAAAACAGGAAAAGATCTCGTCTTTGTTCGAACTCATACTTACCCGACGTACCGCAGTTGTTCATTGGAGATAACAATTAATTATTTCTAAAGATAACGAAGCTTACTTTACTTAGTAAGAAGGCAGTGTTTTAATGATAAATAAAGAAATACTCGAAGTTATTTTTTGTAGAGATATTGAAAAGTACGTACGAGCAACGGTAAGTAGCAACGTCCAAAAAACTTATGCGTGGGATAATATTATCGGAAATAGTGTTAGTATTTACGTATTGAAAAAAAAATTAACAGGTGATCTGAATTTTTCTATATTTTAAATAGATTATTGATCATCTTATCACGGTCGAGCTAAAAACTTAAATTAAAGCAGAAGGAAATTTATTCTTACAGGAGTATCTTTTATATTTCCAGAAGAACGGTGCTCTAACTCATAAGTCCCTTCCCATCTGACAGTGATCATATAGTTAGAGTGCCCGCCGGCAAATTTTTTAAAGATTTATACTCTCTTGAAACTTCTTGTACGGCTTCCTTAGACCAAGCCGTACAAGAAGCCGAAATTAATTTCGGAACATACTGAAATCCTGTCAAGTTTAGCTGTCTTTAAGTTATCTCCTGTGACATCAGCCATTTGGTCTGTGTCGTCGCTTCAACTGACAACGTGCAAGTACTCGAGCTTAGGAGACATGTAGTCCCTAAAGTAAAAATTTTTAAATTTAAATACATCCATTGTCATCGACCTACAGTATCAACATTATCTAATGTAAAATGTGACACTATACCAACTCAATCATGGAAGTCTTATAGACACCTTATTTATATAGTTAGCAACAAATACTAGGCACTGAAGATGATCCGTAGTGATCGAAAACGTTCTGCCAGAACTTTAAATGTGACGACACTTTTTTAAAAAGTTTTAACTTCTTTGTTTTATACCTAAATACACATTTGTGAAGTGTTTTAACTTCTGTGTTTTTTTATACGATGGTATACAGCCAATTACGGGGTTTTTCCCATTAATTTTACAAATAAAATAATTTTATTTCATATAACTTCACAATCATTAATCTCAGTGCAGGCAAGTAATTTGTAATTTTCGAATGAGATTTTTTATTAACTAGTAAATAGTAGAATATACTAAATTACGCTAACATTGGAAATAACACTAAACGACATTTAAAGTGATCTGCCACTTGACAAATTCGTACAAAATTATTGAAAAATTAACATCTCTTGTTAGAAGGTGAATCCTTGAAATATAAATATAATATATTAATTTTAAGTCTTCCCCTTGAAAATAAAATCGACTTTCAGTTTTTTTTTATTATTTACGTAAACAGTGAAAATTTTTTAATTTATCACCCCGTATAGAAAACAAATGTAGAGTAAGACTAAAATGTGTTATCTAATAAACTTATGAGAAAAACAAAAAAAAAACAAAGAAGTAACAATTAAAAAAATCGATTTACTTACATACAGAAAAAAATTTAAGAATGGCGTAAAATTGATAAGAATGAAAGTTTTTAGTAAAAACCTAAGGAATGCTAGCTATCTCACCTCTAATTAAAATATACTTGAACAGGCTTTGAGGGTGATGTTTTTTATTAATTTATTTAAACATAAAAACAATATTATACAAAGCAAAATATAGAGAATCACAATATTTCCTTACCTCCACCTAAAGTTGTTATAGTATTATGTTCCTTATTTGATGTTCCATAATGTCCCAATCCATATTTGATTGGTTTAAAATGAAAGAAAGAAGGTGAGTATCCTGATGCAGCTCGACTCAAAGTGCTGAAACGTTCTTCTCTATCCTCCACATAGACCCCCTCCTTGCCAATGGCAGCCAATTGTCTGCCTTTCGGCATAAACATAATGAGAAAAATAATCATAGAAGATATAACCAGTCCGTAAGCAATACATGCATCTTTATGTCGTTCGTTAACAACAAACCCGCTCATGGTCCAAACCAACCAAGTGGGGACACTGCACCCCACAGAAAGTCCGATATAAGTAGCTTCGCGGTAATTGTCTCTTATGCCTCTCGATTTCACTGCTAATATAGTCACAAAAATAACGAGAAAAACAACATAGATTAGTGAAAGAAGCATATCTGCGTAAGGAGTGCGACATAACGTTATCAAAACAGGGTTATTAATATCTTCGACAGTGAGTAAAAGTTTGTGTTTGTTTTGATTTATTACCATTTCTACGGCGACATCATCTACGAACGGTGGATTCGTCACTAACCATTGAACCCCTATAGCTACTTGTATCAAAATAGCGAACAGTAATAAAAGTCCCTGATATGGGGCTGGTAGGTACACTCCTCCATTTAAACTAATTAAAAATACGCACTTCACTAAAAGGGAAGCAAAAACTATAGCATAAGCAACCCCTGTACCAAAGCGAACAATGGCACATGTCAATTGCGTAGGCGAAGCTGCGAAAACAGCTGAAAGTCCCGCACAAGAAAATAGTCCTAACAGGAGCATCTGTCCCAAGAAAAGGTGCCTTCTACTGGGTGTACTTCGCCACGCTTTGCACAGAACAAACACTTCAAACCCCAATATAAGTATCATAGTTATAGCGGATAGGGCCAACACAGGAATCACCCAAACTTCATTTCTAAATATGCCCACTAGTTTGTCAGTCCCTAGGGGACATCCCGCACAAGGAGTTTTTGATATGTAACTAACTGTTGTCGTGCTAGGGGTGCTGCTGCTAGGCACTAGAAAAAACTCAGTACTCATTTCTAGACGACGCTCTAGGGCAACCGTGGCGTTGATGTCACTAAAATCACTATTAGTTCTTTCGCCGAAAATCACAGATTTGGGACCCATGATCGGGGTCGTCACGTCGAGAGTATCTTCGTAATCTTAGAACGGTTAGAGTGACTGCATGCCGACATACACTCTGCGGCGGTCTGGGCCATACTGATTGTGTCGGCAGCCGTTCTTGAGAACTTCAGCTTTGGCGACGACTTCCACCGAGGACCCACGTCTACCTTTGGACAAGGCGATATTATTGTGACAGTTTTTATGTCTGTTTTTAATTTTTAAATAAAATCCCGACGAAGCCTTATTTTTAAAAAAGATTTTTGCATTTAAAATTTCTATTAAAATTGTAAATTTTTATTAAAATCTAAATGTATTATGCAAGAATAAAAACGTGCTTAACCTTATACGAACTTGTAATTAAGTCATTAATTTATTACCTCTATTTGCACCACTAAAAGCTAAAACAAACTTAAAAAAAACGGAACAAAAAAATTATTATTAGGTCAAATTTGACGAATATTTATTTTTATTCAGATTAAAGCCATATGTCCCTCACTATCGTTAAGGGGAAAATTTACTTATTCTAGATACCTAAGACAAGCTCTGGGAAACTCTTTCCATGTTAACATTGAACTTTACGTATGCTGGAATACTATTCTCTGTTTAAGAATAAAGGCTCTATTGATGATTATAAAAATTATTGACCCATTTCTTTGTTGCCCATCTTATGAAAAGTTTATGAACGAATTTAAAAAAATCAAATTAATCTACATTTTAAATTTAATAAACTGTTTGTTATAAACCAGTACGGATTCCGAAAATTTTATCTTTTTTATATCTTACTAAGGCTTTTGATTGTGTCGCACATAGCTTTCTGCTTAGAAAACTTCCATATTATAATTTTCATAGTGATGCTATTTAACTAATTGATTTATATCTATCAAATCGTGATCAATATGTTCACTTCAACCAGTGTGATTCTCAAAAACAATCTCTGTTGTTTGGTATGTTGTTTGTATTATTTCTTATCTATATTAATGATCTAGTGTACTCTCAAAATGAAACAATTAACACTGTTTTATTTGCTGATATCTATAAAAGCTATCACCCTTCTGAATTCGACACCCTTGATTACCAAAGATCTGAAAACAACTTATTCAATTGGTTTTTAACTAACCGTCTCTCTTTGAACAACTCTAAATCACAAAGTGTCAATTTTACTCTAAAGCCGGATTTATAAACGGACATAAACATAATTTTAGTCTTTAACCATAATCTTATTATATAAGCATAATGTTAAAAGTTAATAAATAAATGTACCCATTTAAAGCATCCATAATACATAAGACATAAATTTAGTCCTTAAAACGTGACCTTGAAAGTTGGTAACTTTGAACATTTATGAATTAAGTATTAAACATTATGGAATTGTTGGAATATGCGCATGCGTTGGTAGAATCATCTGCAGTTTCCTCCTATACATAACCCTACTATTTTATTAATTTAATGTTTTTGGAGCGAATTCAACCACATATTTATTTATTTCACTTTTCTATGAATCTAAAGACCAGAAAAAAATTCTTCATGCTCTATAAAAATTTGGTTAGGTTTGTATTTTCTGAAGTAGTTCTTAAATATTATGGTTATGTATTATGTCTAGTTATAAACCAATCTTAAATCTTATGAATTATGATTGTGGTTGAAGTTATGTTTATGACTTATGATTATGTACTATGTCCGTTTATAAAGCTGCCTTAAGAAATAACCCTTGTGTTGAAAAAGTTACTCTACCACAATGTTTAACCGGTTTAAGTTTTTGGGGATATATTTGGATGCAGGATTAACCTGGAAACAACATATAGTTAATCTATGGAAAAAGCTTTCCCGACAACATTTCCTTTTCAGGTACCTTGTACAAGTGACTTCCAGGTAAACTATTTTAACAGCTTATCGTAGTAATTTTCATTCTCATCTGACATATGCTATTCTCTCCTGGGTCACTTTTGTCATATTGAGAAAGTGTTTGCAAAACAAAGAATGTGTGTTCGTATTATCTCTGGGCTCTCTTATAGAGCAGACTGTAGAAACTCCTTTAGAGCTTTAAAAATTTTGACTTTACCTTGTGTATACATTATGCAGTGTCTGTTGCACATTAAACACAATCTTAGCCAATACAATACACATGTAGATTTTCACAATTATCCCACTAGATTTAACAATAATCTTATACCAGAATTTAGCCGTCTTGAGAGATCCAGAAATAGTTCAAGGTATTTAGCCATAAAATTCTACAACTTAGTGCCAGCTAGATTTGCTTGAAGAAAAAGGTTTACAACCAATGCATACTGCCAGTAATAACATATGGTTCCGAAACAATAACTTTAACCAAACATTCTGCAAATAAATTGAGAGTAACCCAAAGAAAAATGGAAAGAGCAATGTTGGGAATAACTAGAAAAGATATGGTACCAAATAGGATAGTGAGAGAAAGGACTAAAGTGACAGATGTCATAGAAAAAATTGCACAAGCCAAATGGAGATGGGCTGGACATATAGCACGTTTAAATGATAATAGGTGGACCAAAAGACTCATAGAATGGAGACCTAGAGAAGACAAAAGACACCGAGGCAGACCACCAAAAAGATGGATGGGCGACTTGAGAAAAACAGTCGGAAATTGGATACAGAAGGCGCAAGATAGAGAACAGTGGAAGAACATGGAGGAGACCTATATCCAACAGTGGATGCAAGAGGTTGAGGAGTGATGATGATGATGATGAGTGCCAGCTAGAATAAAAGCTCTTAATTTTCATCAGTTTAAGGCAAAAATTAAGAGTTACCTTATAGTGAATGTCCTTTTTACATATGAGGAATATTTTACTTCCAACTTTAATTTGTTGTAATTGCCAACAGTATAATTTAAAACAATGTATCTATGTTTTGTCTTTATATTTATGTGTATATTACCTATATTGACATATATTTTATTTTCTTTGACTTTGAAAAAATACTTTTGTATTCATTTATTACCCATATATCTATCTATCTATCCAAAAAATTTCGTAGACAGCTAGACATCGCGAATAGTTCCGATTTTTGCATAGACTTATACAGATTCTTATTAGGACTCAGCTGTTTGATGTTATTTAGAAGGTTCTTGAAATGACACCAGTAGTACAGGGGATAATTTGACTTGTGCACATTCCACGCTCCATTGTCTCCAATTTAATAAGGGACTATTGGGTTTTTTTTTTTTTTTTTTTTTTTTTTTATATAATATTTAACATGCAATCTAGATCTACAAAAGGTACAATTTTTATTGTAAGACAATTAATGTAAAACATAGGAATTAAGAAACAAAAGCTCAAATAAAAATAATTTATCTCAATAAGGCATATAAGAGTTCTTTGATATGTTATGTTGTAGACTTTAATTAAGAAAGTAGTATCCTATACTTCTAGAGTCAGAGATATAGAGAACTAACCTTACCCAACAACTAATTTTAGGATAGAGACAGATAAATTTCGTGTATAAACATTTGTTGTATAAGTATACCTGCATCAGTACTTAGTACTTAGTTCTTATATTAGCGTTATATCAGATAAGAGGGAAAATACAGAGTAACATTTACTGGTTCATAATGTTTATAAATGCCGTTGTATTAGTAAATAATTAAAAGGTTTAAAGTAAGCAAAACAAAATAAAATATTTAAAATGTTCAATTAAAAATTGAGGTATCACTATAAATAGTATAATATTTCTGGATGATAAAACATTTGTGAAAGGTAATACTTCAAAGTACCTACGATGGATAGTCCAGATTTATCGGAAAATGAATAAAAATGCGTATAATAGAGTTAGAGCGCGATGGATGAAATAGAAAAAGGCAAGTGGTGCAAAGAATTGTCGAGCTGCAACTTCCTGGAACCATTAAGAGAAAGATCAAACAAAAAAAATATGCAATTTTATTCTAAGTTTTGCTTTGGACCGAACTAATGGATAACATAAAACAAATTTAAAGTTGTAGATTATTTATGTTAAAATATGCATATTTGGCTTTTTGACTAGGTGAGTATTAATCTTCTTCTGCTATAAGTTCCATCTTCTATCGAAGGTTGGAAATCATCATGGCTATGCGGACTCTGTTGACTGCCGCTATAAAAAATTCTACATTACTCCATTCAAAACATTCCCTTAAGTTCTTAAGCCAGGATATTCTTCGTCTTCCCACAGGATTTTGCCCTGCATAGTAAGTTGTAATCGTCTTTTAATAGTTAATATTATTTCCGCCTCATTTCCTATTATTCTAGTTACTTCCACGTTTGACATTCTTTGAATCCATGATATTCGTAGGATTCTTCTGTAACACCAAAATTCAAAGGCGGCCAACTTACTCAGATAGACTTGTTTTAGTGTCCACGCTTCCAAGCCAGAAAGAAGAGTAGAGAACACTTAACATCGAAGCATTCTCAGGCGTAGTTCTAATTTTATATCCCGACAACAAAGAAACTTTGTAAGTTTAATGAACGATGTACGTGCTATTTCAATACGTGGTTTAATTTCTTTGGTTTGGTCTACACCTGATGTTATCCATGTTACTAAGTATTTATAGTTATTAACACTCTCAATTGCAGTATCTTCAACAGTCAATTGGATATTTGCATGTGCAGATTTAGTCATGATCATGCATTTAGTTTTCTTTAAATTTATCTTCAGTTCGTACTTATGACAGCCTTCATTAAATCGTTGCATTACGTTCTGTAAATCATTGTTGTTATCCGTCATTATTACTGTAACGTCTGCAAAACGTAAGTTATTTAAAACCGTGTCCGAAGTCGGGACCCTATAAGCAGGTGTGCCTCAGGGAGCGGTGATATCGCCGCACCTGTATACCATTTACACGGCCGACACGCCAGAAAACCAGAATCTCTGTTAAATCTTTACGCTGATGACACCCCGGATTATGCAGCTAATCATCTACAAAGAGCACTGAACAGATTCCAAAGATGGTGTATAAAATGGAAAATAGACTTAAATCCCGACAAAACACAGGCTGTAATGTTTAGTCATAGAAGAAGTGTACCAAAACGAGAAATCACGATCGAAAACAGGCCACCAAGCAAAATACCTAGGAATGTTAATGGACAAGAAATTAACATTTAACACAACACACTACCCAACAAATATACAA